CTCCCTCCCTCCCTTCCTTTCTCATTCTTCATCATCATCATCATCATCATCATCATCATCATCATCATCATCATGAAATTTGTATGCGAGAAAGTCTTCTTAAGATTAAGCTCTTAACACAATATCAGGGAAAGCACAGTTAATTCACTATGCACATGGAAGATAGTATACATTCTTGGCATGCCTCTCTCTATAAATATGACCTATCTGTGCAAAACAATTAACAAGAGAGGATGGGGTAAGAGAAAAATTTAAATCTGAAATACAAACTGCACATCTCACTCATTTTACTATGAGGAGTTGTGGACTATATTGCATGCTTTACATTAATAAGGAATTCCTTCTCAAACAATTATCACAGCAGGTAGCAGCATCTAGATGATCTTGAAAAGCTACGGAGCATCACACCTGGTTAGTACTTGGATGGGAGGCCACCAGAAAATCCCAGGGCTAGATATTTTCTGGGATATTTTTGACTTTCCAATCAAGTCAAAAATATACCAGAAAAAGGCAAAAGCAAACCACTTCTTTACTGATATCAAGAAAACAACCTGGAATTTGTGATGTCACCAGGAGTTAAACTTAACTCAAAGGAGATTTTACTAATTCCTATCACTAAATGCTGTGAGAAATGTCCAACCAGATACCTTGAAAAAACTTAGCTTAAAGCAAAATTTTCCAACTCTAAGACTATTCAACCCTCTTGAAGGACTGCTATTAGTTTTCTACATCATTACCACTAGCTCCAAATTTATCCTATTATGAAGTGAAAAGAAAAATGCCTAAGTGGGAATAAAGAGCTTAAGGCCACACCAATGGGGGAGAGGGGGCTGGTATGTCATTCATATTATTCACTAAGTAAATGTTCCCATACCAGGTAACTCTCAAAATGGGAGGCTGGGCAAAGAAAAGGATCCAACAGATGGGCATGCTTTAGGTTTCCTCTACTAAACAGTGCAATCTTGCAGGATGAGTTATGTATTTAAGATTGGTGGCCATATAAAATGTCTAAATATATTTTTTAAAAAAGAGAGAAGAAATTACAGCAGAGTTCCTGACCAAGTACAGTGGTACCTCGGGTTACAAATGCCTCTGTTAACGAACTTTTCGGGTTACAACCAGATCTGGCCGCAAAAATTTACCTCAGTTTGCGAACTCCGCCTCGGGTTACGAACCGGATCCGCGGCCATTTTCCCTCCCGTGACACGGTCCACGGCCGTTTTTCCGCCCCTGACATGTGGTCTGCGGCCATTTTACGCCCCTGACACGTGGTCTGCGGCCATTTTTCCACCCCTGACACGTGGTCCGCGGCCATTTTTCCACCCCTGACACGGTCCACGGCCGTTTTTCCGCCCCTGACATGTGGTCTGCGGCCATTTTACGCCCCTGACACGTGGTCTGCGGCCATTTTTCCACCCCTGACACGTGGTCCGCGGCCATTTTTCCACCCGACATGTGGTCCATGGCCATTTTCTCGCCCCTGACACGTGGTCCACGGCCATTTTTCCACCCCTGACACGTGGTCCGCGGCCATTTTTCCACCCG